CCTTCTCACCAAGACCCTGCGCTGGGGAGGCGCCGCATGCCCTTGCTCCAGGCGCAGCCGCTCTGGCGTCGCTGACCGCCTCCCTGCAGGGGAGCAAAGGGAATCTCTCTGCTGTGACAGATCCGGGCGAGCTATGCCCCGAAACCGCTACTGTAGCCCCTGTGTGGGGGCGCCGCCCACCTTGAAGCCCTGCAGGCAGCCGTGAGTGTACGAGTAGTACAGGTTGATCTTGGTGATGGGGCCAAACTTCTTCCAGGCTGAGGTCTGGTCAACGTATCTGGGGGACGGCGGAGGCAGGGCAGGGGTGTGAGTTGCTGCAGGCGGCTCAGAGGGTTTCATTCGTGTCAGCGGGAACCTGAAGCGGCTGGCGGGTGGGGCCGGCAGGGGCGCGGCGCGAGGGCGCGGCAGGGGGGGGCAAGGCGCGCGTGCTGGACCGCGTGGTGCAGCAGCTGCAGCCCTGTCAGCTTGGAGGCATGGCAGGCCCACTCACATGCCCCCTCCGCGCCCTGCTCGGGGTTGCGGCGGGCGCGCCATGCGCTGTGAACTAAAAAATTAGCTTGTGCCGCCCAGAACCCCTTGCTGCCGGGATTGTGTCGCAGCTCCAATCGCCACCCTGGATGCTGCACTCTAGGCACACCCTTCGACCCTCGGCAGGCTCACGTGAGAGGCTTGCTCTCGCCCTTGATGCCGAAGAACACCGAGTAGCCCGTCACAGTGTCCGCGCCCTTCACGCCGCCGGGGCAGTTCCATGCTGCAGCGCAGGCGCGGGGAGTGACCTTCATTCATGGCTATCCCACCGGCGGGCCATCATGCAAACAGCAGTGGCTCAGCATGCGCCGGCTGGCACGTGGCTGGCGGGTGCGGCTGCGGTCAACATCCCACGTCGATGCGCGCCTGCATACCTGCGGCCTGGCCGACGGCCAGCGCCAGCAGTAGCACCAGCGTGTACCTCATTGTTTCACCAATCAACAATCCAGCCTGTGGGAGTTGTGGAACACCAAGGGAGCGAGCGCAGGTGCACGCAAGACTGTCTGCTGAATGCAGCCTACAGCGTCGTCCCGCCATCACGCCAATCCAGCCCGCAACACATCATAGCGTCCAGTGATGAGTCACGACAACGACGCCTGTTTTCTGTGCAAGTGGGGCCCTACGCTGCCCTGCTGCAAGGCGGCGAGTGCCAACCAACCTCAGTTGTTGACCTCGCGATCAGGTTCAAGCCTCGTGTAAATAATCTTTTACAGCCAAAATTGTTACCTGAATGTGCGTATATATGTCACTGCTGCCGGTACCCTGGGGGGGGGGGCTGACACCGCACTGATCATCTCGAAAGAATCCGCAGCTGCTCGGCAAGTACGACTGGCCGCGGCTCTCATAGCCGTGCATCTCACTTTGATCCGTTCATTGATGATCGCCAGCTGACCGCGACGGTCGCACTCTCGAGAACGCACTCTCGAGAACGCAGCCTCTGACAAGGGTTGACCGCCCACGTCACCGCAGCCAGCCGCCACACCTACTTTGACACCGGCAGCTGCGGCCCCACCCCCGCAAGGACAGCATCGAATGCCACGGCGCCGTGCCAGTTTTACACACGCGTTCCGCTTCCAGCTACCTCCCCGCGCCGCCGCCGCTCCCAAATAGGTTGCCAAACAGCTGCGCAGCAAACGGCAGCGGCGCGAGCTCCACCGGCGCGCAAAACCCCACCAGCTTCTCCATCACGTGGTACCGCAGCTTCCGCCCCTTGGACGCGCGCCTATCCACCGCCTTGCGCCGCTTTGGCGGCCGCTGCAGCGCCGCGCCGCCCGCCGCGCCGCCGGCGGCGCCGCCGCTCTCCAGCAGCTCCTTGAGCAGTTGCTGATAGAATTCGCCGTCGTCAAACGTCTCAGGGTCCCGCTCGGCGCCGGCCACGCGGCCGCCCGACGCCGCGCCGCCGTCGGAGGCGCCGTCCGCGCCAGGACCCTCCTCGCCACCCCCTTCCTGCTGCTGCTCCGGCTGCCCGCCCTCGGGCGCCGCGGCGCCGCACAGCGGCCGCGGCGCCAGCGCGCGCGCCAGCTGCGTCCGCGACACGAGCCGCGCCGCGTCCCGCATGAGGCTGGCCACCTGCACCGTCACGCTCTGCTGCAGCGCGCGCAGGCCGCCGCCGCCGCGCAGCGCGGCCGTGCCGCTGGACAGCACCGTGCGACGGTGCCACTTGTCCAGGCTGCCATCCCGGAACGGCGCCGCCGCCGACACCGCCGCCTCGACCCTCGCCCACGCGCGCTCTGCCTCGCCGGCGCCAGAGTCTAGACCCGCGGCCTCGCGGCTCCGCTTGTGCGCGCCGACACCGTTGGGCGTTTGCTGCTGCTGCTGCTCCTGCTGCTGCTGTGCTGCTGCCGCTGCGGAGGCCTGCGGGTGGCGCTGCAGCAGCGCTGAGTGCACGTCCAGCAGTGAGCCCAGGGTCTCCTGGCATGAGGCCAGCAGGGCGGTGTACCTTGGAGGGGGGGGGTTATGAGGGGTGGGGGTGGGTGCGCGCGCAACGTCGCACAGCGAGGTGGACGCGGTGGGTGTGAAGGAGGGGACGAGGGTGGACGTGCGCAGGGCAAACTCCAAAGACACGGCGCCAGCTGCCGCACAGCAGCAGGCTGTACGCGCCGCAGCCGCGGCCGCGCGTGGCCTGCACTGCACGGGGCGCATCCCGGGGCTCACCCGTCGCGCACGGCCCCGCTCGCCGCCGCCGCGGCATCACGCGCGCCCGGCCGCGGCAGCCGCGCCGCCGCCGCCACCGGTCGCTGCAGCAGTATCCGCGCCTCAAGCGCGCGCTCCCAAATCGCCTTCTGCGACCTCACAGCGGCCGCCTTCGCGGCCTCGCGCGAGCCGCGCTGCTGCCGCGCCGCGGCCGCCTCGCCGGCCTGCTCCCGCAGCTCCGCGTGCTGCCTGCGCTCGGGGGGCGGCGTGATGGGGCAACCAGCGCGGCGGCGGCGCGTGAGTGGAGCGTACTGCACATGACGTGTGCTTGGGCGTACAGCACACCGGACGGCGCAAAATGCAGAGGCTGCTGCGGGCGCCGCAGGCAGGGCGCTCAGAGCCCGAGGCACTGTCGGCGCAGGGCGTTCATGCCCGGCCCCCCGCCTTGTCCTATCCACTCGCCCGTCCATGGGGCGAGGGTGCCCACCTCTCGAGCTCCTCCATTTCAGGGTCTCGCTGGTACCGCTGCAGCTGGGCCAGCACGGCCACGCCATCCCCATCCTCCTCCCCCTCATGCCCCTCGTCATCGCCATTGTCGTCGTCGTCGTCGTCGTCGCTGCCGCTGCTGCGACGCCGCGGGGTCGCCGGCCCCTTTCGCTGCCGCACGCCTGCCTCCTCGGGGGCGTCGCCGTCGCTGTCGGTGCCCCCGCCGCCGTCCTCCTCATCCTCCCCGTCACTGGACCCCTCGTCCCCAGCGACGCCGTTGGCCGTCCGGGCCGCGGCGCCCGCCTCCTCGCTGCCGCTGCTCACGCCGCCACCCTGCTCTTCTTCCTCCTCCTCCTCCTCCTCCTCATCATCATCACCACCATCATCACCATCACCGCCATCAATGTCCTCCTCATCGCCGTCGCCCCCGAACAGCGCGGCCCTGCTGCTGCGGCGGCCGCGGTACTCCTCCCCCTCCAGCTCTATCCCGGACGCCATCATCCGCAGCCGCGAGCGCCTGGGAATGGGGTGATGGTCGCCGTCGAAGCAAGATTATGGAACCAGCAGCGCGAGCAGCTGTGGGGAGGCGGTGCGTCCTCTGGTTCTACACTCAAGGCTGGCTGGAGCATGGCTGCTCACTGCCCAGGTAGGCCCGCCGGCCGTGCATTGGTGACCTGGATTGCTTGAAAACTACGACTGAGCCATGGCGCGGAACCGCGGTGTCACCGTTCCGTGATGCAACGCAGTGCGTGCACAAGGCAGACCCATGGCCCCGCTGCGCCCGCACCCGCCCGTGGCGTCGAGTTGCCGCTGCAGCTCGTCGTCGTCGTCGTGGAGGAACGTCCCGTCATCGCCAAACACGGCGTCAGGGTCGGGCTCTGCGACGGCGCGGGGAGGCACAGGAGCGCAGCCAGGGGCAAAGAGCGGTCGGATGCGTGTGCAGGGAGGGGGACGAGAGGCAGGCGGTGGCACGGCGGCTGCAGCACCAGCCTTGCCCGGGCGCGCGCGGCTTCGCAGCGGCGCGAGGCACACCATGACGGGGAGCCGGGTTGAGGATGTCTCCGAGCTCATCCGCTAACATGCGTCGCGCCATGGCTGTTGGCGGCTGTACCGCTTGATTTGTTGCGCTGTGCAGCGGCTGCGGTGCCGGTCGCCGGCGGTGGCGGCGGCCGCGGCGGGTGGCGTGTGCCGGAGCGTGCGGTCTGGCAGGCGTGGTCGATAGACACTGTATAAGCGCTGATATTGAAGCCTGCCCCTGCCCTCTGGTTAGCACTTGCCAGGTGCCTTCGATCTCTTACGACACACAGTATTGCTCCAGGTGTACCGTAGGTCCAGCGCTGATTCTGCTTCAAACAAAGTTCCTCAGTAATACTCGTGCCAATTGGACCGCGAAGCACTTCGTACGATCTTGTTCACACCGTCTGAGCAGCACAGCACTGTGAGCCCACCCTTCACTAGTTCCATAGAGCAGACTTCAAAAGGTTTTGAAGGATCCCCGTCTTCTTCGACTCACCGCGATCGAGAGCCCTGGCCTGGCCGCCTGTGCCCCTGTTCGGACAACGGAGCGCCGCTGCTGGGCCCAGCGCTGGTGCGTGGGTTGAACGCACAAGCCTTGCCAACCCAGCATGGCCGCCGCAGAGCAGCAGCAGCTGCAGAGGCATTCAGATCTTGAGCAGGCACCGCTCAGCGAGCTCTACGATGAGGCCGCACGCCTCGCGGACGCTGCCGGCGCCGACCGCGCACCCGCCGCGCTGGAGCGTGCCGTGGCGGCGCTGCTGCGCTGCGAGGCCGCCGCGGAGCGCGCCGCGCTGTTCTCCTCCAACGAGGACGCCGACGATATACCCACCTCCAGCCTGAAGTTTCTGCTGCTGCCCTCCATGCGCGCCGAGCTCCTGGCCGGGGCGCCCTGCGCTGGCGGCCCCGAGCAGCGTGCGCGCCATGCTGGCGCCGCGCTCGCCGCGCTGCGCGAGTTTCTGGGGCGCGCGGCCCAGTACGGCATTCTGAAGGGCGCGGCAGCGGAGGCCGCCGGGCTCGGCGCTTGGGGCCATGGCGGCCGAGGCGTAGGCGGCGGCGAGGAGGAGGATGGGGAGGGTCGAGGAAACCAAGGCAGCGGCGCAATTGCGCTGCGGCGCTCTGGGGCCCCAACGTCGAGCTTGGACCCCAACGCACGGCGGCAGGCCAAGATTGAGCGATTCAAGCGCTCCCGCGCTCTGGCGGCCGCCGCGGAGCAGCTGCGGCGGCAGCGGGACGAGGCGCGGCGCCGGGGCGGCGGGGCAGCGGACGACGCCGGCGGGGGCGAGACCCAGACTGGCGGCCCTGGCGGGTGGGACGAGGAGGACGAGCGGCGGCTGTGGCTCATGCGGATCGAGGCGGCGGCGCTGAGCGGGATCGACGTGCGGGACTCACTGTTGCAGGAGGCGCAGCTGCTGCAGCACGCGATCGCGGCGGCGCGGCAGCGCGAGGCCGAAGACGGGCCCCGCAGCGAGAGCGGGCGCGGCGCGAGCACCAGCAGCGGCGGCGGCGGCGCGGCGGGCCGCGACGCGCGGATGCGGCCGGGGGCGCGGCGATCGGCGCCGGGGGGTGGCGGCGGCAGCGGCGGAAGCGGGGGGTTCGCTGCCGGAGGCGGCATGGCGGAGGGGGGCGACGCGGCGTCGAGGGCGGCGATGATGACCCGGCTGTCGGGAATTGCTGAGGCGTTGACACTCAACGGCCGCGAGCGGATCCACCAGCAGGTTGAACGGAGCGCACCTCGTAGCATGCGCCGCATGTGCGCCTGCACGAGCCATGCGTCGCGGGGCATGCGAACCCATGCGGGCACACGCGCATGTCCGCGGGGCGCTGTGCCGTCGCAGGCGGCTTGCAGCAGGGCGGCAGCGCCTGGACCATGAGGCCGCCAGGCAGCATATTGATTGGTCCAGGGCTCCGCAAACCTCGCCTCTTACCTACAATATCGCCTGCGCTCGTTTGATCTTCTTTCACCCGGCTTCTCTCCGCAGGTGTTCCGACCGTACGTGCCGCTGCCGACCATATCAGTGGAGCAGCAGGGGGCAATGGAGCTCGCCGCCGCGCGCGAGCGCGAGGCGCGCCAGGCTGCGGCTGACGCAGCACGCAGCGCGCGGGAGGAGGCGCGGCGCAGCGACGACGAAGACGAGGAGGAGGTCGCTCGGGCGCGCGCGTGGGACGCCTTCAAAGACGAAAACCCCGCCGGCTGGGGCAACAGCAAACTGCGGCCGTGCGCCTGACGGCGCGTGGCTGTGCCGCATGGCTGTGCAGCGTTGAGATAATTGTGGGCTGGCGGTGGCCTACGGCAAGTTGCTTTGCACATGGGTTGCGTGCATACGCTCCGGCGGCCCGCATGGCCCGGTTTGTATTGGTCACGGGCGGCCGCCATGTACCGTACGCCCTCACGCCCAGCGCATCCATCCTTGCCCACTTCTCCTGTCTGTGTAATTAATCATCATTCAGCACCAGTATACGGGCGCTGACAAGTCGAGTGGGCCGGACGCCCGCCAAACGCGGTTTGACTCACCCACGTCAGACTCGTGGGGTGGGGCACTCGAGATGGGAGCGAACCTGTTTGATGGATGCCTCGTTCGCACACCGCTCCCTGACGATTTCTCAATCGTTTTCGACACGCACAGTCGCTCATTGTATCGTGAGCACCAGCGCTGCGCAGCCTCATCAGCCATACGCTTTGCTTATCAGCGAGGACCCCAGGCGGCTAGGCACCCCAGCTTCCACTTGACTTAGTTTGGCTGCGATGCTATCGTCGCTGCTGAAGGGCGGCAGCTTGGGGAGCAGCACGGGAGCCCTGTCGTCTCCACTCACCAGTGTGTCAGCCTCGTTTCAGCACGGTCAGACGGAGGACATAGACCTTGAACTGGACTTTGAGCTGGACGGCGACCAGGGGCCGAGGTGCGGCCCGGCCGACGCTTGATGTCTCGCCACCAGAAGCAGCACGATCGGGAGCCTGTCAGACGCTGCGCTGCCGAGCACAGCCAGCGGCGCTGCGCCGCGGCCCACGCACGGCGCTTGGGGTTCAGGATTTACCATTGCATGAACGAGCAGCATGCTTCGCCTGCAGCCAATCCATGTATTGGGCAGCAGGAGGCACCAACACGCTTGCAACACCACCCACACCCAAAAAATCCAAGATCCCTGGCGCGTCAGGCTCATTGCGCCGTGTCATGCCCCCTTTCCACCCACAACCCACTGACCCTGCGCCGCCCCGCCCGCCCCTTGCTGCACGCAGCCCCCCCTCGCCCACCTCGCCGCGTGGGACGGCAGCAACGCAGCAGGGCGCGCAGCACTTTGCCCGGTGGGCCCATAGTGGCGCCCCCCTCGGCGCCCCCGCCGGCGCCGCGTCCACCGCGTGGGACATGCCCGTCCCCGCGCCCGTCCTCGCGGCGCGTGCCGCCGCGAGCGTTGCGCGGTCCATGCCGCGGCCGATCGGGTCTGCGCGGCGCACACACTCTGCTGCCATGGACGACGGCGACCGCGAGGAGTTTGTGCCGCCCCACCTCGCCGCCAGCATGGTAGAGCACTCGGTGAGCGGTTTGTCCTGGCCGAGGGCCGCGTGCGCGTGGGCGTGGCTTGGGGGCGGCCGCCATGAGCGCAGCGACATGCGCCCTGCGGCCATGTTCAGTTGTCCTGGAGCGCTTGCGTCGCCAAACCTTTGCCTCAGCCGCGCGCGCCCCTCCCGCGCCTGCAACCGGCAACCCCCATCGTTTGCAGACGGCGTGGCCTGAGAGCATCTCTACCGCCAAGGGCGCCGCTGCGCTGCGCATGCGGTCCACCACGCTGCGCCGCACCGGCTACATGGAGGGGCGCGTGTGCGGGCCGGGCGCCGCGCGCCTTCCCAGCTCGTAAGCGGGCGACATGCGGGGCGCGGCGGGCGCCAGTCGGCCTGTCGGTGCGCCTGGCCGCGCATCGCCGCTCCGCATACGCGCACCGTCGCCCTGGGCGCCGCCCCTTTTAGAGGTGGCTGGGGTGCCCCAGTCGCCGCCGCCTCTTCACACTGGGCTGGCTGCCAATGGGCGGCGATGCTTTGAGCTTTTTTGGATCACTGCATGCTGCGCTCGTGCGGCCGCGCGCAAAACCCCGCAAGGCCCCGGCGCAGCACAGAACAAGCCAGCGCACCACGCGGCGTCAACACTGCCCCAAATCGCATTGCACTGCCGGCTGCCTTCGGCGCGGCGGCGCGCCGGGCTCAACCCACCCGCGCGACCCCCCGCGCCCTGCGGCGCGCCCGCAGCGTCACGGCCCGCGCGGCGCGGCGCGCATTCAAGCGCCCGAGTTAGGCGCGCGTCTTGCATTCTGTTTGCCCTCTGACGTCGTTCTGCTGGGCGCGTGCCAAGGGCCGGCGCACGGTCTCCCGCAGGCCGCAGCGTCTCCCACCCGCACTCCTTGTCCATGCCGTGTGTTTCGAAGAAACAGCGAGCCCTGTCTATGGTTCTGTCCTAGGTCCCCACAAACGACGCCACCGACCCAGATTGGGCCATTTATCGGGTGGAGGGGCGGTCGCCGCGGCGGCTGCCCCACCAACCCGCCATCAGCACCGCCCGAGCGCGCACAGCCACGCGCTCCGTGCGCGTCACGTCCCCGCTGGCCCCAAGCCGCGCGGGCGGGAGGGCCTTGCGGCTGCGTTGCGCCGCCGGCGTTGCCTGAGGGTTTGGGTGGATTGTTTGGCTTGATCTGAGATCTGATCTAGATCTGGGGCATCAGCTGTGTCGCACGCCCTGGGTGCTGTGTGTTGCCCGTGAGGAGCGCACGAGTCCCCTTGCATCCGGCCCTCAAACACACAACAAGCATGGAATAAACAATCCAACCCCGCAGCAAACTGCCCCTACGTATGCCTTGTCCTGCCTGGCCGGGTGGTATTCCTCTGCACAGGCTTGATTGAAGCCCGGGCCTGCAGCGCCAGGCCGGGCTTGTGCGTCGCAACGGGCGCCTGGGGCGCCGCTCGCGGTTGCCCTGGCATGCAGGGTGGCATGGTGCTGCCAGGGGTTTCAGGACGGGGGATTGAGGGTGCGCACGAGGGCCGTTGCTGCCCGAGGCGCCCCACGTAACCGCATGTGCCCCTCCACGGCTTTTCCCGCACGCGCGGCGCGGTTGCGGATGCGTTTACGAGCCCTGTCCGTGCGTGAGCACCCAGCGCAGCAGCATTAATTTCCGTGCTGCGGCTGCTGCGGTCGGGCACGCTCTCACTTTCGGCGCCCGCGATGAGGTGCGCCTCTCGTCACCTCGGGCGTATGCACGCCACGCCGCTCGCAAGGCGTGGCGGGAGCTCGGCCAGCCCTGATTTGGCCCTTCAGGTTCTGGCGCGTGCGCATGCGAGGCTGCTGTTGAGCCTTGACGCAAGCGGCGCATGGCACGCTATGCACAATGGGATCGTGCATAGGCAGGGCCACAGCACACCCATTCCAGGAAAGACCCATCCCAGATAGTCAATTTGGTCCTGACCCCTCACAGGGCCCGCCTGCGGAGTCCCATGCATGGCGCGGCCCCCTGCCCCGGCCCCTCCTGCCTAGAGTAGCCGGGCAGGCGGCGGCCCCGAAGGTGGCCCCGTGGCGGTGCCCCGCTGGGTGTGGGTGCAAGGTGTGTGTATGCTCTCCCTTTGTATCGTATTTCTGTTCCCATGGCGCACAGAACAGCACTGGCCACGCGCGAAGCTTGGATTGCCCCGTCATTTCTTCTTGCCGCCAAGGCACCCCCTCGGCCGCCGCAGACAGCGCCGCGTGCGCGCGCCGCACGGGGGTTGCCCAAGCCCGCACGCCCGCATGCCGCGGCCAGGGGTGTGGCGCATGTCCTGCGCACTGCTGTTTCCATTCACCAGGACCCCTTCTTCTGCGTTTTGCTGGGCCCCTGGCTCGTGTGTTTGGCGCTGTGCCCGCGGCGCGATCCCTGCGTCCCGCGGGCCCCCACCGGACGGCCTGCGGCAGCAGAGCCTGCAGTGCTGCGATACCCTGCTCTCCACTTCCGCGCAAGTCTTTTCAGCTGGCGGCGGACACCCAGCCCGCGCCCGTGATAGGGCGGCCTGCGGACGTCTTGTTTTGCGGGGGCGCACCCGCGTGCGCTTCCACACCGTGTGTTAACATACCCCTTTGGACGCGGCGCCGCACGCGCCGCTGGCGCATTCAATTCGCCAGGCCTGTGCGCCCGGCCGCCGCTTTGATGCACACCACACCGCAGCACCTACACGGCCTTCCCTAGCCCTCAGGTTTCCCATGCTGCCACACGGGGTCCCGCAGAACGCGGGTGCCATGCCGCGATGCGCGACAAGGCGCCTGCCTGCGCCTGCCCGCATGCATGCATGCGCCCGCCCCTTCACCCCCGGCTTGCAAAGTCCCAATGCTTTTTTCATGGTCAGGCCACGCCTGTCTGCCAGGCCGTGGCTGCAATGCAGAGTTCTGTCCTTCTGGGACCCCAGGAACTTTTGGGGGGCAGCACTGAATGGGCCCAGACCACCTGTAACACGTCGTCTAGGATGATCGCGGCATATTGTGCAAAAACGCAACAGCGTTGCCAAGCAACCAGCAAAGTTAGAAAAGAAGATGGGGACGTGGTGCCAGGCTGGCTGCCTCCTACAAAGCAGCTGCCGCCTCAAGACAACTCGCCGGCCTCTGATCCAAGCCGCCTGTTGTTCCCGCCCCTCAATAGCGCCGCGGCCGCCGCCCGCCGTCAGACCTCGGCGGCGGCAGCCGCCTGTCGCCCCGCGCGCCGCCCACTTCCCGCCAGCCGCTGCCGCTGCTGCCGCCTCTGCCGTCGCCGCCGCCGCCGTCGCCCCCCTGCTCGCCGTGCGCGCGCCAGGCGGCCTCTTCCAGTGCGAGCTGCTGCAGCTGCTTCTTCATCTGATTCACCACGTCCGCCTGCCCCTCGCTCTGCTCCTCAACCGCGTCAAGCAACGCTCCCGCCTGCCGCTCCGCCTCTTCCCCATACAGCCGCGGCACCACCCGCGCCGCGACGTGCCCGGCCATGTCCCACGCAGCGAGCGGCACGCGCGGCGGCGCCGCGCGGCCCTCCGCGGCCGCCGCCGCCGCCGCCGCTTGCTCCGCCAGGTGCTTCTGGCGCAGCGCGCCGCGCACGCGCAGCACGTGCGGCAGCGGCAGGCCCAGGTGCGCCAGCAGGATGCCGCCGGTGCCGCGCAACTCGGCCTCGACGTCGGTCACGAGCCCCTGCGGCGTGGACAGCAGGAACACTCCAGGGGGCGCGGCCCTGCGCGCGGAAATCAGCTGCCGCAGGTCCACGTGGCGCTGCGCCGTCGGCTTGGAGATGATCTTGACCGTCTCGGGCGTCGGCGCGTTGAACGTGATCGGTGCGGTCAGCGCGCTCAGGCCGCCCGGCGCGGCGAACGCGGCCGCGCCGCGCTGCCACTGGAGGGCGAGGCGCAGGTACATGGCCGGGTAGCCGGCGCAGTCGGTGGACGTGGCGGGCTGCACGCCTGGCGGCCACACGCGGTGGTGGCCGCCCTTGAGGCGGGCCAGCTTCTGGAAGACGGTGACGTCACTCACCACGCCGAGCGTCTTGAGGGTGCGGGCGAGCTCCAGGCCGGCTTTCGAGAGCGGCAGGCTGACGGAGGCGCAGCGCTGCTGCACGCCGCGGTTCAGGGTGCCGAGGAGCATGCACACATTCTGGTGTGACAGGGATTTTCGGGAGGGGGAGGGCACAGGCGCTGAGGTCAGTGGGTGAGATGCGGATGAGCGGGAAGACTGATGCACCTTGAGCCGCCGCAGTATCTCCAGCGCTGCCGATTGACAGTCAATGTGGGGTGGTTGCCAGCCATCGGCGGAACGTGCTGCCTTTTGGCGGGTGCAGCAGCAGCTGATGATTCCGGCCGGCGAAGCGCTAGCAGCTGCCACATCTGAAAACGGATGCAGCTTACGGAGTAGAAGTTGCCGTAGGCCCCCCCCATCCTGGCGGCAGTGCTGCCAGCACGCAGCTACACACAGGCAGCCTCCGCCACCTCTGCCGCGCTGCCCTCCGCGTCCAGCCTGCTCCTTGTCCGAGGTGCTGCCGCGCTGCTGCCGCGTGCAGTGCTGCCGCTGCCAATGTCAGTGTGCTAGCGGCGTATTGCGTGGTCGCGTTCTCTCTGATTACGCTGCCTCAAGCTTTCAACACTGTCCTTTTCCTGCTTACACGTTGCTACAGGCAACCAGCAAAGGCTAGGCGATGTGATCTGCGTCGCCCAGCGACTGGCTTGGTGTCCCTTGTAAGAGATTCAGTTTCGCATGGTTCGTCTTTGCAATCTGTGGCCTACGTTGCCACCACAAAGGGTGATCAGACACTGCAGGGGCAACTGCGCAATTGCGGATTTGCCCTGTCTGCCCGCACCGCCATAAATTCGCCTGTAAACCCCTAGCAGCAAAGCTGCACACACATGTCTTCGCCGGGATGCCATCGCTTTCTGCGCATCCATTGCCTTGACTCCGTCACTGCCAGCGACATGCGGCTGCACCCCTGGCTGAGCAGTGCAAGCCAGCGTGTCTTGCCTCTCGCAGGTTTTGCAATCCAGCTCAATTCCGGTGGTTTTGTGTAGAAAACATGTCGCAGGCTTACGCAGCCCCGCGGATATCCAGGTCATGACGTCAGGCTGACACCGCCCCCCCTCCCCGCAAGGCGCCGTTGTCACAGCCTAGCACTGCGATCACAGCCCCCCTGCGACGGCGTCCTTCGGCAGCCGGCTGACCCAGGGCGCCCCCGGCGGCAGGCTGGCCACTTCCCCGTCCTGCAGCGGGTCCTGCGCCATGGGTGTGATGGACCAGGGGCGCCCCCAGACGATGGCGGGCTCGGGGCCGCGCCCAGTGGAGCGCACCCACTCGACATCGGCTCGGTACCGCTCCTGCAGCGGCGGGAGCTTGTTGCCGCCGGGGATGGGGGGATAGGGCGGGGTGACTGCGGGGA